ACATTGATATCAATTTCAATTCACAACATTTTTACATTCAAAAACCCTATTCTACCAACATTTTCATCAATTCACAATATTTTCACATTCATAAACCCTATTCTACCCACATTATACCCACATTGCACCCATATTCACATTTTCACAAACACAATAAACACATAAAATTCAAATGAGACAGAGAGAGACAGACACCATACCAGCGATGGTGAGCAACCCACGGACGGAGAGAGAGCAGAGAGAGAGAGTGAGAGCAGAGAGAGAGTCTGAGAGCAGAGGGAGCGAGAGCAGAGAGTGAGAGAGCCTGAAGTCGAAAAACCTAAGTGTAAAAAACGTGGTTGCAAATGAGAGGGCCGGGGGAGTTTTATATAAGTTTTAAAAGTGTGGTTACGAACCACGCTTTTACTTAAAAACGGATTGTGGACAAAAGCTCAATAGTAAAAGCGTGGTTCCAAATCACGTTTTCTCAACAACAAAAAAAAAAATCGATTAAAAGCGTGGTTGTGAACCACGTTTTATGAAGAAAAAAAATTTTATTTAAAAGCACAGTTAAAGCGTGGTTCACAACCACGTTTTCAGCAAAAAAAATTTTTTTACTTAAAAGCGTGGTTTGAAACCACGTTTTATGATTAACTTAAAAGCGTGATTTGTAACCACGTCTTCTTAATTAAAAGTGTGGTTTGTAACCACGCTTTTACGATTTTACAAAATTTCCGCGCGACAGCTAAAAAATGGTGAAAGTGTGGTTCACAACCACGTTTTAGCCTAGTTTGAGAATTCCGTCCAAAATAGGCCTAGTTTGGGAGATAGGTTACTAATTTGGTTTAATTTGGGAAAAGCCCCCTACCATTACCACTACCACCATCATTGTCGCGACTACTATCACCATTAAGCCACCACTACGACTACTGCTACCGATACCATACCTCTATCACCACCTCTACCACCACAACGGTCACGGTTACCATTACCACCACCTCTCCACCACCATTACAACAACAACGACAACCCTCACCTCAACAAACATCGCCACCATTGCCATAGCCACGACCATCATTCCACCTCCACAATCACCACCATCACTACACCGCCACCTCCACCTTCACCAAAATTACACCACCACAACTACCTCACCACTACCATCCCGCTACCTCCTTTCGCCATAACAACAACCACTATCCCTCGACCTCCACCACCATCATTAATGCCATGGCCACCGCCGCGGTCACTGCCACCACACTATAAAAATTGGAAGATATAATTTGAAAATTATAAATTTCAAATTTCAGCTTGTATATTTCAAACAACTTGTTTCAATTTAGCACTTAAATTTTTATAAAACAACTTTTAGCTGTGTTACATGGACTCGTTGGTTTTAGCCGGAGTACCCGTGTCAACATGACACCGACACGGGTGTGGGATTCGAGTCGGACACAGCAACCTTGTGTCAGATGCGTCTGACCACAAATGAATACGAAGATGAAGACGAAGAGAAAAGCGAATACGAAGACGAAAGTAAAGACGAAGTGGAAAGTGAAGAAGGAGATGTACGTACCTGTATGTCGTTGCTTCGGAGCCGATGATGAACTTCACTGGTGTCGCTAGGGTTTTGAGATGAACTTCACTAGTGGTGGCTGGGGTTCTAAGATGATTGCCCAGGTGGCTAGGGTTTTAAGATTTGTGAATTCAACTTTTATTTGAATGGGCCCTATTTTAGTAATGGGCTAGAGTTTTATGTATATATAGATATATGCTTAAGCCCAAATACTTAGTCCAAAATAATCCAATATAAATATATATATATATATGCTGAAGTCCAAGGGTTAGTTTGACATGTTTGAAAAAAGTCAAAAAGTTAAAAAGTCACTATCTTATTTAAGTCACATCATCTTTCTAATACATCACTTCAAATTCAACCCAAACCCAATCCATATTTCATAAAAAGTCAAAAAGTGCACTTATTTAGATCATCCCAAATAACCCTTAGTCCAAAATAATCCAATATAAAATAAAAATGTTGAGGTCTCATTAAGAAAAAAATGTCAGCCCAATAAAAAAATAAAATATGGGCCCTATTAAATCTTATGTGGAAATTATTCTTTAAATCTTGTATAATTATTCTTTAAACTCATCATATATTTTTAAATATATATATATATAAATGTATCCCCATACCCATATCCAACTTTTTGTTCATGTCCCCGTATCCTAAAATCAAAGAAAATAAAGAATCTGACTCTTCGACATGTATCGGTGTGAGACATTTTTGCCAAGTCCACCATGTAACTTAGCTCTTCAGCTTAAAAGATTCATCATTCAGTTAGTACTTAATTTTCAGTTCTATCAAACACCACCATAATGACACTTGTAATTGTCTGACAATGGTAAAAAGAGGCAAAGGGAAAGGAAAAAGATTCATTTCATATCCTAAAGAAGAAGATTGGGAGGTAGCTAGAGTTTTTGTGAAATTTTTAAGACTTTTTTATCATGTGACTTTGCAACTTTTAGGATCTTTGCATGTGACATCTAATGTTTTTTTTTCATCAACTTGGATCGGTGCAATCTAAATTAGTTCAATTGAGTAAAAGTGGAGATGCAGTGTTAAGTACCATGGTTGATAAGATGAAATTGAAATACGACAAATATTGGGAGAATCTTGATAATATCAATTTCTTGTTATATGCTGCCGTTGTGTTAGACCCTCGCTACAAGTTGACATATCTTAAGTTTTTATTCAATAAAGTGAATGAAAATGACAAGGTAGAAATTTTAGTGGCGAGGGTGAAGGCAACATTGGAATGCTTGTTTGATCATTATGTTGAAAAGAATAATATTGGTAATGTTGCACCTTCATTTGCAAGTAAAGCTCCTTTAGTGATGGAAGTTGATGAAGATGAAGAGGAAAATTCCATGACACTCTTTGTCTCTCAATATATTAACCATTTAGAGTCGGAAAAAAGTGTGGAGAACAAGTCAGAGTTGGAAAAATATTTGGTTGATGATTGTGTAGGCCCAAGAGTTCCAAACTTTGATATTTTGAATTGGTGGAAAGTTAATGGCTATAAGTATAAGGTTCTTTCTCTAATAGCAAGAGATGTGTTGGCTGTCCCAGTTTCTATAGTGGCCTCTGAGTCAGCTTTTAGTACTAGTGGACATGTGCTTGATCCATTTAGGAGTTCTTTGAAGCCGAAGATGGTGGAGGCTCTAATTTGTATACAAAATTGGTTACAGTCTTCATCAATTCTAATCAATCTTAGAAAATGTATGGATGATGTTGAACAATATAAAGAAATTGAGTCAAGTAACTTTTTTGATTTGTGTTCATTTTAAATTAATTATTCAATATTAATTTAAGCTTTTATCTAATTTTGAATAACATTAAAAGTATTTTTTATTTTTCAGAATTTTTTACATTATCTATTACACAAGAAGCAACTATTGTTGAGGACTAATTTGTCTCCAAGTTAGTTTGGTTTTAAAGTTCTTGAGGTTATACTTCATTCTCACTCTTGAATATTATTTGTTGTATTGGTTATTTTTTTATTTTTTATAATGATTTTGATGATAGTTTTTTGTTATTTATTTATGTTTTCTTTGCTTATGTCTACAAATTAATGAAGTGTTTGGAGTTTGGTTGAAACAATTCTGAAGGATTGACGTTATTATGGAGTTTGATGAGTAGATTAACTTTTTGAACTTTTGGATTGTTTGTGAACTTTGATTAACTTTTGAACTTTTATAGAACTACATTGGATGTTGGACTTAGATGATTAACTTTTTGAACTTTTGAATTGTTTGTAAACTTTGATTAACTTTTGAACATTTTTTACAACTATGTTAGATGTTGGATTTTGGAGGCTCTCCAACAGGTTCCTCAATGTTGGATGATGTTATGTTTTTTAGTATTTATTGGCTTGTTAAATTGTTATTGTATAATTTGTTTGGATTGTTGGATTTTTAGTTTACTAGTTTGTTAATATTTAATGTTATATTAGATGAATATTTTAATTTTGACTATTTCAGTTAATTTATAAATTAGATATTTTTACTCTTTGATTCTAGTTTTGTAATTTGAATTATATTTTGTTATAAACTGCCAATTCGCCCGAATCGCCAAGGCAAATCAGTCATTATTTGGCAATTGAACCGCTGATTTTTTGTAAGAAAATTGACAAATTCTAATGACATTTTTATCAATCCACCACCCGTCATGCAGTTTCTATTTTTCTTTTAAACCGCAATGACCTGCACTGCACACACCTCTAATGGTGGGTAGTGTTACAAGATATTTGATATTTGTATTCGTGAAGGAATGCAGTTGATTGGAAAGAGGAAAAAAATGAGGGCATGATCGTAATTTTAATCTTGTATTGTAGGAATAATTAGGTACTTTTACTTTTTCTGTTAGGTTTGTTAAAAGGCAAACTCTGATTGAGGCTTCAGTATAATTTTCAAAATGTAAGAGGATAATTTATGTTATTTATAAATTTTAAGGGGTGTGGATATTATTTATCCAATTATAAACTCCCAAATATAATTTTCAAAATTATATGAGATAGGTGGTAACGTAGTTAATCAATTTATTCCTTCCACCATACACGATAGAGGCTAAACTTTACTGATATATATTTATTATTTAAGTAATATTAGGATATTAAAATTGCTATCAAATATTTTATTAAATATCTTACATGATATGAGTCCACATAAGTATAGAGTTCACTTCCAAATTTAAATTTTGTTTGACGGTAGCCAATTTTTTTGTATTGAAACTTTTTTAACTTGACTTTTTTAATTTCATTTGGTTTTTATTTTTGAATTTTTTAAACTTTTATAAGAGAAAAAAATATAATAATTATGATTTAGATGTGAGACTTTATCTTATTAATTTATATAACTTATTTTACTTATTTATTTATTTATTTTTTCTTGTACTTTTTTTAATCCAAAATAAAAACCAAACGAGGACTTTAATAACCTAACATTTTCCTTATGAAAGCAAAGCAACCAGACATTAATTCAAAACCGGGTCCGTAGTAGATCTGATAAGAGAAATGCAGGCAGCTCCGGCACCGCATCAGGCGGCGGCCCACTCGCCGGCGGAGTCGCGGGAATCAACGACGGAGGCGCCGCCGAAGCAGGTGGCGCTGGCGATGGACAGGCTATCCCACGCCTCCCGTCTCATCGCCGCCAATTTTTTTGTATTGAAACTTTTTTAACTTGACTTTTTTAATTTCATTTGGTTTTTATTTTTGAATTTTTTAAACTTTTATAAGAGAAAAAAATATAATAATTATGATTTAGATGTGACATTTCATCTTATTAATTTATATAACTTATTTTACTTATTTATTTATTTATTTATTTTTTCATCTACTTTTTTTAGTCCAAAATAAAAACCAAACGAGGACTTTAATAACCTAACATTTTCCTTATGAAAGCAAAGCAACCAGACATTAATTCAAAGCCGGGTCCGTAGTAGATCTGATAAGAGAAATGCAGGCAGCTCCGGCACCGCATCAGGCGGCCGGGTCCGTAGTAGATCTGATAAGAGAAATGCAGGCAGCTCCGGCACCGCATCAGGCGGCGGCCCACTCGCCGGCGGAGTCGCGGGAATCAACGACGGAGGCGCCGCCGAAGCAGGTGGCGCTGGCGATGGACAGGCTATCCCACGCCTCCCGTCTCATCGCCGACATTAGGCTCGGTGCTGACCGCCTCCTCGAAGCCCTCTTCGTCGCCGCACAGCCTCACCACTCCAGCAAACCATTGGATTTGATCCTCAAAGAAGAGGCCTCCATGCGAAAGCACCTCCAAGACCTCCGAAACATCGGTAATTTTGCTCTGTTTCTCAATTTCCAGATTTAGGGTTTTGAATTTTGTATGATTATATCCTCAACCCTTACTTATATGTTTTTCTTAGAACTTGAATTTGAGTAAAATTGCATGTTTCATGTTTGAGTGGAAGCTATGGGTTGGAGTAAAGGACATTAATGGGAATTTTGGGTGCAAGTGCGAAGTTTTGAGTTTGGATTGGATTGGAATTTGAATATTGGAAATGGGTCTCCCTTGGTTTGAGTAAAACTCAATTTGGTGCAACTTTGAGTAAAGCGGTGAATTTTATTGATTTTTCAGATTTGAGCAAGGATTGGAGATATCCTAACAGTATATTATTAGGTTTATGCTAGTATTTTGATCTATGTCTGTATGTGCTTTTCCTTTATGATCAAATTGATACAAAACACATTTGTTGTGATCTATGAAACATAGACACGGACACGATATGCCAAATTTAATAATAAAAAAATGTAGGACACAGACAAGGTTTGGACACGCCCAAAATAATTGTTACTTGATAGTATATTATCCGGGAATATATTGTGTTATATAGTTATATATGTGTGTAATATATATAAAATTAAATAATTACTTTATACTAAGTAAATCTTGTATCTAGTCATCTTACATGGATTTTTAGACCTACTCGACCATAGTAGTTAAAAATCAAACACACGCCAGCTGACATATATACTCGAAACATTTCCCTGATCTTCCTAAGCTATCTGTTAATACATTTATGTATCTTTTTCTTTTTCATTTAAATTTATATGAAACTTCTATAAGATTATTCTTAATACTTATACATTTATTAAGGCTAAATTTGAAAATCATGCGTTTGCAAATGTCCAAGAAGTGTTGGTCTCATGTTTGTTTTTTTTAGTAATGGACACATCACAAAATGAATGTCAGACACATCTTCGAAATTATGATTTTTATTGTTAATTATGGATATGGTAAAAAGAGTATTGGGCACGTGTTTGAGAGTATCTGAGAAGTGTCGGTGTCCAACATGTGTCTGACACAAACACGTCACCTTCTTAGGTTGTTATGAACAATGGTTCACCAAACTTATAAGAAAATGGCAGAAGTTTTAGAATAGCTAGAAGTGATGTGTTATTTTGGCCTTGGATGTAGTGAATGCTAGTTAAGGTTCTTGTGTGCATAAGTTATTAAGTTGTATTTTGATGCATGGGTTTGGAAAGCAATAAAAATGTTGAGGAATAGCAACTTGGAAGACTTAGTGTTTTTGAACAGTCACAATTTTTTTTGAAAGTATAAGTAGGAATTTTTTTAGGTGCATGAACAAGCAAAGTGTTTAATGCTGATGTGCTTGTATTCTTTTGGAAAATAGTAGTGTGGAGCAAAAGGATGATGATTTAGTGCTGCGCATGAAAACATATTAATTGGAGAAAGGAATAGTTTAGGAGAGGATATTTAGAATTTTGGTGGCAAATGATCTTATAAGCGCTCGCGCACACACACACTTCTACAGCCAGTGGAAGTGTCTTTTATCTGAGTGACTATCCTTGCACTAGATTATTGATTCGGGTAGAGTAGGTAATATTACGCAATGGTCATAGGTTCCAAGAAGCATAGACACTTCTATGAAGGTAACATGTTCGTGTCGGACACTTGTTTGACCTCGGCACATGTCGGACACATGTCCAAATGTGTTTTATTATTTCTAAAAAACATTTAGACCTAAACTCGCTTTGAACACTTGGTGGATATAGTTGTTCATTGTTTAGACATACAAGAACCAAATTATAAATTCGATCAAAATAGCTTGTGATCCAGTGCTAAAAGAAAAAAAAAAAGTAGATTTATATATATTAACCCCTCATCATTTTTTTTTTTGTTGATAAATAAGTAAATTTTATTAGAAAGTATTAAGTCGATGTAAAGAATTACAAAAAAAAGCCCACAAAAGGACTAAAGAAAACTAACTACTCAACTCCTCCACAACCTTAACAAAGACCAAAACATTGGGATCGACTGTATCCGTAACCCAACTATGCAACACCATTAACAATCGGCGCTTTAACCATGAGACAAAATGACACTCATTCTGGAACACTCGCCTATTCCGTTCTAATCAAACCAACCAAAGCAAACAGTGAGAAGCAAGCATCCAAACCTTTCGGCGCTTCTTTCCTACCCTAACCCCACCCAAACTTTGTAACACTCCGAGAACCAACCCTGGTTGCACCCACACTAAGCCAAACAAAGCAACAATAAAATTCCAAAGCCGAGATGCAACCGGGCAATGAAGAAGTAAGTGATCCACCGTTTCCGCAGCCTTACCACACATATGACACCAATTCACCAACACATGCCGCTGCTGAATCAAATTATCAATTGTGAGGATATGACCCAAAGTAGCCGCCCAAACAAAGAAAGCAACCTTAGAAGGAGAACCGATTACCCAAATACATTTCTAAGGAAACACACCCACAACACCCCCTGCAAGCACCCCATAAAATGACGATACGGAGAAAACGCCTTTAGAACTCCGGACATCCCACACCAAAGAATCCCTCCCATCCCCTCTATTCGACAACCCAAACAAGAAGCCTAGTAGATCCACCAATTGGGCTAATTCCCAATCCTGTACATCATGACGAAGATGTACATTCCAAACCACTGATTCCCCGTGTTCCACCCAAACCGAAGCAACCAGCTCCTCCCTATCCGCAACAATAGCAAAAATGAAAGGGAACATGGTCGCCAAAAACAAATCATTACACCATCGATCTTGCCAAAGCGAACCTGATCTCCAACCCCCACTTGAAACCGAATCCTCTCCCAAAACCCCTCTTCCCCCAACCAAATTCCCTTCCACAAACCACAACCATGAGATTGAACCACTCTTTTCGAGCACCAGCCCCGCCGCGCCTTCCCATACTTAGCTACCACCACCCTCCTCCACAGCCTCTCCCGTTCCCTCACAAAACGCCACAACCATTTACTCAATAAAGCCCGATTAAACACCACCAATTTCCGCATGCTCAAACCCCCCCTCTCTTTCAAATTACAAACCCTCTCCCAAGTCACCAAATGATAATGAAAACCCTCCCTACCTCCACTCCACATAAAATCCCACTGCAACTTCTCCAACTGCTTAGCCACCCCTACAGGAATCACATGTACAGACATAAAGTACGTCGGAATACTGGAAAGAACACTTTTGATCAAAGTAATCCACCCCCCTTTTGACAAGTATTTCACTCCACATGCCGCCCAACCCATAACATCCGTACAAACTCCGACCCAACAACCTCTATTTTTGTCTCTTGTAAACACACCAGATCTGCCCTCGCACTCTTCAATAAGGACTTAACCACTATTCGTTTACATTGATCATTTAGACCCCGCACATTCCAAGTCAAAATTTTTAGACTCATGGTAACAAAAGGGGACTACCCCGCTCCTTTCTGATCCGTCGGTCTCCTTCGCTTAAATTTTGATCATAATTAATTGAGCACTTTAGTCATCGCATCGCCCAAACCCCTTTAACAGTTTGACCAACAACACACCCTTCCTGAGCACCCAGTCTGCCCCCTGTCCATGATGCCTCAATAGTAGAAAATAACTTTTGTGCCTCATCCTTATGACCCTCAAATGATACTCCCAGGAATTTACTAACCTCAGAAATACGATGTAACACCCAGTCAGATACCTGTTCAGAAGATGGCAGCTGCTCCATATCAAAGTCAACACCCAGCATTGTCTCATCCTCTAGATCCAAATGTGGCGACCTAGAAACCCCATCTTCTAGCACCTCAGGACGAAGCACCAAGGCCAAATTATCGTCGGAATGTGCCGAACTCGCCTCCGATGATGTAGCTGATGACCCCTCCGCCCCTGAATTAACCCAAGCTTCCCCACGAAGCTCCTCTCGCATCAGAGGTAACGAAACATGGCCCAGATCCTCCATCGGCAACTTTCCTGGACTTCGCGACACGAGAACCACTGACCCCAACTGCCTAGAATCTCGGCTGGCCGTTGGCAAAATGACCTCCTCCAACGAAGATCACGCCACCACTCCACCGTTTTGCAACGCACCACTGCTGTCAAGAGGTCGACTTGACCCAACGCTGTCACGCAACGTATTGACAATCCGAACGACAGACGGGTTAATCTGTGCCCCGGTTTCCAGTAGTGGGCTAGCGCTAACTCCTCCTTGTGGGTGTGGGCCTGAAAGGGGAGAACTCAGCCCACCAAACCCACGGACCAACTGCTACAACTCCTTCTTGAAATAACCCCTTGGGCCAGGGGTCCCCAAATTGCTCCTATGGTCCATCCCGCTTATTTTGATAAGGGCCCAACTTAGTCGAAGCCCAGCCGCTCGCCCTCAAGGCTTGACGTCCGCCCTGAGGCCTAAACCATTGAGTATCTTCCCCAAATCTTTGATTAAATCCCTCAGATCCCCCAGCCTATAAAGCACGGACACCTCTTCGAGGACTCCGTACCAGTGTCGGACACGTGTCGGACACGGACACGTGGTGGACACGTGTCCGACACGCACTAGAGAGTGTCCAATTTTTTTTTAATTTTTTTTTGAAGCCGGACACGTCCGGGACACGTTATGGACACTTTCGGGACACACACAGGGTCAATTTCAGAATTTACAAAACATTTTTAGGGTCGATTTCAGAAATTACAAAAGGCGAAGATAACAGAGGAGAAAGAGAACCTGGTCGCTTGTCCGTCGCTCATCGTTTGTTGTTGCTCCTCGACTGTCGCTCGTCACTCGTAAGGTACACCTTCTTCTTCCTTCCTCGTCTTCGGTCTTCTTCTTTCTTCTTTCTTCTTCCTTCTTCTTCTGGTCTTCGTTCGTCAGTCGATGTTTCTCTCTCTCTCTGTCTGTCGACGTCTCCTCTTTCTCTCTCTGTCTAAGTATATTTTTGTTTTTTATTTTGTTTTTTCGCGTCTTTTTTTATTTATTTCAGAATATATATATATATATTAATTAGTTTTGTTAATATGTAATATATATATATTTTATTAGTATTTATTTCAGTATTTATTAGTTTTGTTAATAAGTCTTTTTTCAGTATTTAATATATATATATATATATTCTGAAATAGTTTTTTTAATATATATATATATATATTATTAGTTTTGTTAATTTTAATAATAATGTGTGTTTATTAATTTTATTATAGGAACAAATTTGTAATTCTGAAACAATGGCTACTGCGGGTGGTAGTTCTAATGATGTACCTGATGATTATTTTGATGAGAACAAACCATTGTGGAAGTATGTAACTAAATTAGCAAAACCTGGGGAAGGAGGAGGAAATTGCCAATTACAATGTAATTTTTGTAATAATACTTTCAAAGGTTCATATACAAGAGCAAGGGCACATCTATTAAAACTTCCAGGAAAGGGAATTGGTGGTTGTAAGAAAATTACAAGTCAAAAACTTTCACAATTGCAAAATGAGAATGATGCTGCTGAATTGAGAATTAAAAATGCTCATCCCAAAAATGTACCACTACCCCCTTCTAGTGTATCAATTGGTAGTAGTTATGCTTATGAATCAAAGAAAAGGAGGACATGTGCAAGTGGGAGTGGGAGTGAGAGTGGGAGTGGAAGTGCGCCTGGGAGTGGGAGTGCTATTGAGAAAGCATTCAACATGAAGGATAGAGAGCAATTACATTTTGAAATTGCTAGGATGTTCTACTCAGGGGGGGTACCATTTAATCTTGCAAGAAATCCTTACTATGTTAGCTCTTACACATTTGCTGCAAACCATAATATTCCTGGATATTTGCCTCCCGGTTATAATTTGTTACGAACCACATTACTTCAAAAGGAGAGGGCAAACATTGATAGATTGTTGCAATCAATTAGGGGCACATGGAAGGAAAAAGGGGTGAGCATTGTTAGTGATGGTTGGAGTGATTCACAAAGGAGGCCTTTGATTAATTTTATGGCGGTGAGTGAAAGTGGGCCTATGTTTATTAAGGTAGTTGATTGTTCTGGAGAAACTAAAGACAAATATTTTATTGCAAATTTGATGAAAGAAGTGCTTAATGAGGTTGGGGCTAGTAATGTTGTTCAAGTCATCACGGATAATGCTCCTAATTGTAAGGCAGCTGGACAACTCATTGAAGCTCAATTCTCTCATATTCTATGGACTCCTTGTGTAGTGCATACATTAAATCTAGCTTTGAAAAATATTTGTGCGGCAAAGAATATTGAGAGGAATGAGGTCACATATGAAGAGTGTAGTTGGATTAGTGATATTGTCGGAGATGGTTTGATGATTAAGAATTTTATCTCTAATCACTCAATGCAATTGGCTATGTACAATGAATTTGTGTCATTGAAGTTGCTATCGGTTGCCGAAACACGATTTGCCTCCACTATTGTGATGCTCAAGAGGTTGAAGCTTATAAAACATGGGCTTCAAGCAATGGTAATTAGTGACAAGTGGAATTGCTATAGAGAGGATGATGTTGGGAAGGCAAAATTTGTAGAAGAAGATTTTGGATGATATGTGGTGGGACTACATTGATTATATTCTTTCCTTCACGGGTCCTATATATGACATGCTTAGGGCTTGTGATACGGACAAACCTTGCCTTCACTTAGTGTATGATATGTGGGACACAATGATAGAGAAAGTGAAGATGACAATATATAGGCATGAAGGGAAAAGAATAGATGAGGAATCTACATTTTACAATGTGGTACATCAAATTCTCGTGGATCGTTGGAATAAAAACAATACTCCTCTCCATTGCATGGCACATTCATTGAATCCAAAGTAAGTATCACATTTAAATTTGTTTTAGATATTTCATTTTAATGGACTTATCTAGTTTTTTTTGAAATAATTATTTTTTCCTATTTTGTATTGTAGATATTATAGTGATGAGTGGCTCCATGAGGATCAAAATAGAGTTCCTCCGCATAGGGATGAAGAGGTGACACGTGAGAGGAACAAGTGTTTTAAGAGGTATTTTGAAGATATCACAGAGCGAACCAAGGTGATAACTGAGTTTGGAAAATTTTTGGGTTATGTTGAAGCATTCTCGGAGTATGATTCCATTGCACCATCTCTTCAAAAACTAGTTTTGAGATTACTTGTGCAACCCGCCTCTTCATCTTGTTGTGAGAGAAATTGGAGTACTTACTCCTTTATTCACTCAATGAGAAGGAACAAAATGGTCCCCCAAAGAGCGGAGGACTTGGTGTTCATTCATAGCAATCTTCGTCTTTTATCAAGGAGGAGCTCCCAATACTTGCAAGAAGAGACAAAAATGTGGGACATTGCTGGAGATAACTTTGACTCACTTGATGATATTGGAATGCTTGGGATAGCTAACCTCTCACTTGATGAACCGGCTATGGAGGCGGTCCTATTTATAGATGAAGGAGAAGATGGAGGTGGTGGTGAAGATGTTGTAATAGTTTCCTCTACTTAAATTCACATTTTTTGATATTTATGGATTTTGTAATAGATGATAGTTGTTGGTACATTGGATAATTTTATATTTTGTGGTTTGACTTTCATGCATTTTGTAACAAATGATGGTTGGTAGCTTCGAATGACATGTTATGTATTGATGGAATGCAATTTTATGTTATTTCAATGTTTTTTAATTATTTTATGACATATAATAAATAAAATTAATTATATATATTGAACGTGTCCCCAGCATGTCGTGTTTCCAATTTTTTGAAAATTTGCGTGTCAGCGTGTCGCGTGTCCGTGTCCGTGCTTCATAGCCCCCAGCCCTAAACATTCTCCTATCATCACGCCACTAAATCCGACCTTTCTTATTCGACCGACTGCTACCGCGCATCTACCCCGCCTGTTGGATCGCCTCGATCGTTGGCCCAACCTCCGGCCACAAAGGTACCATATATTGCCAGGACTCTCACCGGAACCTAACACGGCTCGGGATACTGCCACCATGGTGAACTTGCAGTCGAACCACTCCTAGGTTTGCCGACAGGGCATCGACATCCACCAAACCCCCACACTTCTCCCTGATGGCCTTATACATCTCTGCCCCTCGAAGATGTAAAGGTAACCCCACCACTCTCACCCACACCGTCGACCCCATCCCAGATTCCTTCCCCTTTGCACAGAGAACTGCTGGTGACCACCATTGTAGACTCAAATCCCGGCCTTCAATAATCCACCGACGCCGCAAGACAGCTCCAGTGTCTCGTTGTGAAGGGAAGACAGAGAGAAAATCTTGGCCCCCAACCGGTCGAATCTCCACCAGATCTGACTTCTTCCACCATCGGCCTACCCATTCCGTCATAGCCGAAAACCCCACACCCTTACCCCCCACCTGACCCACTGTACCGACCAGTGCCCTATTCAACAAGCCAAACCACCCCTCTTCTGCCACACCTTGAATCAGTTTACCACTAACACCTATGGAAGCTAGACCTCCTCCAATCGATGGGCCACCCCATTGCACCACAGGAGCCCGGTTCGTGACACCTGTCTTCGAGGCGTAGCCCTCCCGTTTGGCAAAACCCTCCATGATTAGAGTCACTCCCTCCCACCCATCCCCAAACTCCGACCCAAGAAGAAAAGTTTGAGACTGTTTGGCATCAATGGTGATCACAATCTAAAACGAAACTCCTCCATCCTCCTTACCACGAGTCCACATTGCCACACTTCGGCGCTTCCCATCTAAATAACCCAGAAAAGATTAACTCCCTAAGTGACGCGATGCCACCCGTAACTTCTGAACAATCCAACCCACTTCAAAACCGATCAATACCACTTCCCGCCGTAAGCCTGCTCCACGTTCCACAATCCCCAAACGACTATGGCCTTGTTGATCCGCTGGCTCCTCTTGGAACTCAAAAGAACGTCCCCCAGGAATAGAATCCTTCTCCGTGGCCCAATATCAGTCCTCCCGGAGACATCACAGGTACATCGGCTTTTCAAAAGTATCTATTAACCCCTCATCTTTTAAACTTTAGAAGTTAGTGCTATGTTTAATTTTTATATTACATTTAAATGAAATGTTTATATATATATATGACATATTAAAGATGTATTAAATTATATATTTTGCTTGTTCCTGCATCTTTTAAATATTATGATGTCGGCATCACTGTGTCTTGTTTGTGTCGTGACTCGTATCCATGTCCGTGTCAGTGTCTGCACTTCATAGCTTCTAAGAAGGTGGCATGTCTGTGTTGAGTTCACATCTAGTTAAATGGAAAGTGTTGTACACTACCCATACATTTGTTTCTTATTTTTATTTTTAATTGCATCCATAAATCTGTCTCCTTGTTTTTGTTAGGAAGGCAATTGGAAGATTCTGGGGTTCTTAACGAGTCACTTCGGTCACGTAGTAATTCATGGGGCCTACACATGCCTTTGGTTTGTCCAGATGGTGCAGTTGTTGCCTATGCATGGAAACGTCAACTTGCTGGTCAGGCTGGTGCATCTGCTGTTGATAGGACCAGGTTTGTCTTAAAATCTGGGTGTATTGATACATCTTTGAATTCTAGTTTTTATTTATTTATTATAATTAAGCCTCTCGGTGAGTTTTGCCATTGGACTTTGGCGCTAAACTGTGGTTTTCCTGCATTGGAATACTTGTTGGGAGGGTCAATCACTTGCTAGGTACAGTGTAAGACATCATGTTTGATAAACCTTTGTTTTATTAACAGAGGATGTATTGAATTACCCAACTCTAATTGGAAATGAATTGTAACATTAATATGTGTATGATGATCACAAATATTCTGTCTTAAGCCCTATACTCTGAAATTGTGTTATTATTCTGCCTAAATACAAAATTTGTTGATACAAACTTCTAGGGCTTGTTTGGTTTGTTTTTGGGAGAGTTGTTTTTGAAAAAAATTTTGGGGAGAGAGTTTAGAAATTTTTTTGGTTTGTTTGGTTGTATATTTTGGGAGAGTTGTTTTTTTTGAAGTTTGGGATGATTTGATATTTTAGGAGAATTTGAGTAGATGTGTGAGAGAAAAAGTGATTGAGAATGAGAGAGGAAAGAGAAAAAGTGATTGATTGATGTGTAAGAGAGATAAAGTAATTTTGAAAATTTTTTGAGAAAAACTCAAACCAAACAATTTTTTAGAAATTTTTTTCTAAAACTCATCTCCCAAATGCAAACCAAACATACCCTAAGTTTGAAAAAAACAAAAATCTAAAAATGCCATTTCTCTTGGTAGGAGCAGTATTAGTGAAATATTGCAATGCTTCCTAAGTCATTGCCACAATAAATAATGGAAGAACTTTTTGACACCAGAAATTACACCCACCAGTCTCAACCAAAGTTAATTTCAACCAAAGTGGGACTTGTGTTTGAACCAAACTTCTTTTTTTGGGGTGGGAAGGGATCTGCTAGTAGTACACCCTGATTAGTCTTCATTAATAGGGTTTTGGGAGGGGTGAACTGAGTACAGACCTGACCTTTATCCATGCAAAGTGGTAGCTCTCATATTTGAACTCACAACCTCAAGGTTATTGGGCTGGATTTTAACCATTAAGCAAGTGGCCCGCTTGTTTTAAGTTTGGTTTAGTTAACTCCAATTTATTGGGACACGACGTTTACTTTCCTTTTGTTGGGTTGTGTGTGTGTGTGTGTGTTTGTGAAACCCACTACCTATTTCACCTTCCAGTGCAAAAAGGCTTCTAACTATTGTGTGTACCAGTATCATCATCAGCATCCCTTAATTAGAACTATCCTGAAGTGGTGGTAAGGCCTCTAGTCAACATCAACATTGGCCAGACGAACTTCTTACACATAGAATCATAATTGAATCATTTTCATGATCACCTTCCAGTGCAAAAAGGCTTCTAACTATTATTATTATTAAAGTTATTATTAATAATAAACCGTTATTTGGAAGAATTCTAGAATTTTCTTAACTCAATTTTTGAGGGTTTTCAGTCATTGTGCGATGTTGGTAGGACTTGTTCTATGTTATCATCCCATTTCAAAGCTACTCTGACTTGAGATTGACTGATTAATAATCTGTCTTGGGCAGTTACCTCGTAACTTTGTAGTTTGATAGGTACTACATACTAAGTTCCTGGCTATTATTTGTTTCCCTATTCCCAATCATTCTTTTTGGTATTATTTGTAGCTCAGTTCAACAATATTATGAGCATTAAAGCTCGTCACTGTAAGGGGATTGATTAGTCTAGTGTTTTTATGTACAATAATGCTATACTTACCATCTTTTTATATCACATTTAATATACCATCTCATGTGGCACAATTATAACCATTGAATATTAATGGATCTCATGTGGTACCCATTGCATTAATGGATGTAACTGTGGCACACGAGATGGCATACTGAACATGGTATGGAAATGGTAAGTTTAGCATTATTGTTTTATGTATTGGTTCATGTCCAAGGGTGGGACATGTCTAGGACTTCTTTGAAGTAACATGGTCTCAAATGTGTGAACTGGAAAAAATTCAACTTGAAGAAGATCAATGTCCATGATATGTTGTAAAACAGCCCCGAAAGTTTCCAAGTGTTTGGTCGGGGAACTTTAAAGGTTCCTTCTCTAGTCAATTGGAGGGTATCCTTGTGTTGTGATGTACTCAAATTATCATTACCAAACCATAATGACAAGCACTAGAGGCACTCTACTTTACATTTTACTATCAGATAATAGTTGAAGACATGGTTAAGCAAACTGTTGTATATTAATAGTTGTCATGCCAGAAAGTGCTTTATGTGCTACTTAGTAACTGGTAGAGCTGTTCACTCCTCGGTATCTTAGCTTATAACAAATTATGGTGTTGATTAGTGTACTGCCTGTAATGACAATTGTCCAAGGAGTTCTTGAACTTCACATGTATTTTTCACGCACTTAATAAGGTTATGAATGAGAATGCAAGAGAGTTAGCTGATAAGTCATGTGAAACACAATTTAAACAAAAAATGATATATTTCCTGACAATTTTATGTTGGGACTTGGCTCTCTCTGTTTACTGAACTCCATTCAACTTGTGTAGGTTGGCTCTCAAAGCATTTACTGATCAGAAAAGGCGATTTTTTCCTCACCTTGATGAGGGTGCTGGTACTGAATCAGTTTCAAAGAAACACTGTGGTTCCCAAGTATCAACAGTGAGCCATGAAGAAGAGCTTAATGACTATAGATCAATGCCAGATATTTTATTGCATATGGAAAAGGAAGTGCCAAATGTGAAAGTTTTTACTTACGAACGGTTGGATTGGTTAAAACGAGCTTCTTCACTTCCCTCTTTGGCCAATGAGAGTATCATAGAATCATCAAAAGAACATAATTTTCATAGTTCAAATAACATAAGGCAAGGAACAGTAGGCATTGTTGCTGCAGAGAAAGTTGCTGTAATTGAGCTGTTGTTTCCTTCTGTTTTTAGGGCTATAGTATCACTGCATCCAGCTGGTTCCATCGATCCTGATGCAGTTGCTTTCTTTTCACCAGATGAGGTAATTTATTTATCAGTTTCAGCAGCTTTCTGATTTTCATCCTTAGCATTATCTTTTCAAATATGCTAAGTAAGTTCTGTTGTTGCACTTCTAGATTATTGTTGTGTATGACTGTTTGGTTGCTTCATATTATCATTGAGCTTCGTAGCATGTATGTTAAAATTGAGCAATGCCTTATTGAAGCATGAATTTCCATGAATTCAATAAAACAAGAAGGTGGCTTGATGTTTTTTGGATGCGGAAGTTGTTTGGCTTGTCTCCATCAATATGTTATGGATTAGGCATTGGCGTAAATGATTTGGCTCAGGCCTTGTCACCTCAATCAACTTTAGTGGACAAAGTTTGAGCTTGTTCCTAAGTCTGATCAAGCTTGTGCATTAAACTCAAGTAGGAAATTCTGTAGTCCAATCGGTTTTGAGTTTGACTGGGTTCTACTAGAACTACATATCCTTTCAGCTTAGATCCAGATTTTGGACAGACACACTTGTTCAAAACTGAGGGCTTGTTTGGTTTGTATTTGAGAAACATGTTTTGAGATAAAAAGTACGAAAATTTGTTTGGTTTGGTTTTTTCTCAAAAGATGTTTTGAAAAATTATTTTAGAGAGTTTTGGAAAAAGTGATTGATTTGATGTGTATGAGAGAGAGATTTGTTTGGAAAACTTGTAAACCAAACAAGTTTTGAAAAAAATTTTTGGAAACATTTGTTTGGTTTGATTACTTTTGAAAACTTATTTGTAGAGAATTTTTTCTAAAATTTTTTGAGAAACACAAACCAAACAAGGCCTGAGTTTTGAATTTGCACCTTTCCTTTGAGTTTTATTTGGATTCTATCAATGTATGTTTATAATGAACTTGATTTACTTACGGAAATAATCAAACCAAACCAAATCAAGCCTTAAGTGCCATTAAATGGGGTCGGCTTCATGAATCCTTCTTCTCCACGTGGCTCTATCAAAAGTCATTTCGTTACTCAAATTAAGTAGATCCATAAATCTATTTACAATGCTAGCCAACGTTAATTTAGGCTTACCCGGTCCCCTACCACTTCCAGTTACTGTCATTGCATCGCATCTTTTCACTACTGCCTCTATTGGTCTCCGTTGAATATGACCAAACCATCTCAATCGATTCTCTCTCAACTTATTTTCTATCGGTGCCACTTCTACCCATTCCCAAATACACTCATTCCTAATTTTGTCTTGTCTAGTTTTGTCACACATCCACCTTAGCATTCTCATCTCAACAACACTCATCTTATCTACATGTTGTTTCTTGGTTGCTTAACACTCTGTCCCATATAACATCGCTAGTCTAATAGCCGTTCTATAGAACTTACCTTTTAGTTTACTGGGTATTCGTTTATCGCGCAGTACTCCAGAGGCACTTTTCCACTTAAGCCATCCCGCCTTAATCCTATGGGCCACATCTGCATCAATCTCCACTGCCTTTGTGATAATCGACCTTAAATAACGAAAATGTTACTCTTAGGCAGTTATTGATTCTCAATCTTCATTTATCTTCTGCTTTCATTGTTACTGTTATTAAATTTACATTCCATGTACTTTGTTTTAGTTCTGCTTATCCGGAATCCTTTAGATTCAAGTGCTTTTCTCCAAATCTCCAACTTTGTGTTAACTCCTTCTCTAGTCTCATCCACTAACATGATATCATCTGCAAAAAGCATACACCATAGCACGCCATTCTGAATATTTCTTGTCAACTCATGTATAACTAACGCAAAAAAATAAAGACTTAAGGTAGATCCTTGGTGTAATCTTACAGTGATAGGAAATTTATTTGTCTCTCCAACAAGCGATCTAATAGTAGTCACCACCCCTTCATACTTGTCCCTAATCACATCATTGTAATCTTTTGTCACCTCTTTCTTCTCTAACACCCACCATATTATATCTCACTCACCATATTATATCTCGAGACACTCTATCATATATTTTCTCAAGGTCGATAAACACCATATGAATGTTTTTCTTCTTTTCTTTTCTTTTCTTTTCTTTATACTTTTCTATTACTCTTCTCAACAGGTAGATCGCTTTTATTGGTGAGTCCACACAAGCATAAATTCAAATTGATTCTCTAACACCTTTGTTATATCTTGTAATCGGCGTTCCATCACCCTCTCCTACAATTTCATCATATGACACATTAGCTTGATTTCTCCATAGTTGCTGCAATTCTGAACATATCCTTTATTCTTATAAATTGGCACTAAAATATTCTTCCTTCACTCATTCGGTATGTTCCTAGTCAACAAAATTTTGCTAAACTACTTAGTTAACCAAGCAACCCTCTTTTTACTCAACACTTCCAAGCTTCAATAGGGATATCATCGGGTCCTAAAGCCTTATTTGATTTCATCTTCTTAAGTGCGATATTCACTTCAAAGTTCCTAATCCTGCGATAGAACCTATAGATAAAACCTATAATCTTGGTTTATCATATTATTGGTTATTTTTTCCCCTATTGACGTGTTTCCATGTTTCTCATTTAATAGTTTTTCAAAATAGTTCTTCTATCTCTTACTTAATCTCTTCATACTTCACCAATACGTTAGAATCCTCACTCTTGATGTACTTAATTTGATTAAAATCTTTTGTTTTCTTCTCCCGTATCTTAGCAAGTTTGTATATCCTCTTCTCTCTTTCCTTACTATCTAGTCCAGTGTATAGGCCATCATAAGCTTTCAACTTAGCCTCTTTCACTACTTTCTTGACCTTCTTATTAGTCAATCTATAGCTCTTAAGGTTTTCCTCAGTTCTATCATTTTGTCACTTTTTAAAGTACTCTTTTTTTGCTTTAACTACAGCTTACACCTCTTCTCTCCACCACCAAGTTTCCCTAGAGCTGGGTCCCGTTCCTTTCGACTCTCTAAGCACTTCTCTTGAGATTCTTCTCATATAATTAGCCATCGAATTCCACATGGTGTTAGCATCATGTTCCAAGTCTCAAGCACCTTCCTTATCCATTCTATTTTTAAATATTTCTAGTTTATCCTCTTTTAGGTCCCACCATCTCGTCCTACAACGCCCACCATCTTTCCTTGGTTGGTATTGCCCTTTAAAACATAAATATAGTACCAAAATCCGATGTTGAGAGGTTAGGCTCTCTCCAGGAATCACCTTACAATCACTGCATTTTTGGCGGCTCACTTTTCTCCCTAAAAAGTAATTTATTTGGCTCTTAACTGACCCATTCTTAAACGTTATCAAATGTTCCTCCCTCTTCCTATAGAGTATTGGCCACTATCAGGTCAAAAGCCAACGCAAAATCTAAGATACACTCTCCAGTCTCATTTCTAGCACCAAAACCGTATCCACTATGCACCATTTCAGAACTTAGTTTATCTATGCCTATATGGCCATTGAAATCTCCACTTATAATTAGGTTCTCTTTTATGGGTATCTCCTGTAAGATCTCATCCATTCGCTCCCAAAAATTCCTCCTAGTCTAATCATCTAATCCTACTTGAGGGGCGTATGCACGAATAACGTTCACTATATTTCCTCCAATAACTAGTTTAACTAACATAATTCTATCCCTTTTTCTAATGACCGCCACTACATTTTTCATAAGACCCTTGACAACTATGATTCCTACTCCAGTTCTGTGTCTATCCTTATCGCTATAATACAATTTAAAATCGGTATCCTCAATTTCTTTAGTTTTCTCACCCGTCCACTTAGTTTCTTATACGCATGCTATACTCTCTCCTCCTAATCATAACATCTACCAATTCTATCGTTTTACCAGTTAAACAAATGGCTACCCTAAACCTATAGTCTTGGACTAGCTTTTTTACTTATGCTCGTCCAGAAAAACGCGGGAACCTTTGCCCATTTTTCACCGCACTTAGGCATCGATGCGGCGCCCTCTGCTCACTTTTCGAAACACGTCATTTGAGGGGAACGACCTAGCATTTAATCGATTCAAAGTAGGATTCATTGTCATAAGGGATTCGAGCGGCTTTTTTACGTGTTGACTGTCGTCTACCTAACACACAACCCTCCTCCTTTACTTGGGCTTGGGACGGGCGAAGTTGTTAACCACCTCGGCGGAGTTTGATTTACTTCAGAAAATAAATTATAAATTTATTTACATATAATACACATTTAATTTAGAGTTCATATTTGTTGCACCATTAGTGGAAAGGTTGTTTCTAAGGGTGGGTAACAGTACGCTTTTGACAGGTTATTTATTGCAAAAATTTGCATCTATCTAACAATATACAATTTAGTCTCCTTTCATGGTTTAACTATTTGTTAACCAATTATTTATAATTTTTTTTTTCCTAGTACTTTGTTTATGAAGGACGTTTGCATATGTTTGATGGTGTTGAATTGTTAATAGAAAGCATACCTAAGGTAGCCCTTCTTCTTTGAAATATCAAATATGAACATTGCCGTTCAAATATCCGATGCTTCTTTCTTTGTATCGTGATTTCTTAAATGAAATGTTTCGGTGTATTGATATACAATTATTTTGGATGTGATGTGATGTGATGTGCAATTCTCAAGGCCGTAGGCAGTATGAGTATGGTATAGTTACTAGTGAAGGTGTTCATTCATTGTTTTCTGAATTGCAATCTTGTTGAGTTGTGTGGAGCTTAGTTGCACGAAGTGGAAGCGGGAGCGGGAGCGGAGAATTGTAGTCATTCCAAGAATCGTTGGTAGGGAGCGTTTGTATATATATTAAATAATATAATATATAAAAATATATTGTAAGATTATATATATTTTTTTCTCTAATGATAATGAAAATAGATGTTATAAATTTTAAAATATATATATATATATATATATAAAATCATATAAATAATTTAAAAATAAATAGCAAATAAACATTCATTTTAAACATAAATAAATATTCATTTTAAACATTCATTTTTTGAGCTGGCCAACACAGGATAATAAATTAGTTAGGTGAAATTTTTATATATTTGTGCAATCACAACCAGCAAGGCAGATTTCATTAATTGTAAAAAGTGAAGGGTTAAATCAAAAGTCATTTTGTATAAGTATGACATTAAGACACAACTAGAATTAAATGAAAAGATGTTAAATTTATAATATAAAGAGTTATGCTGCAGACCTCAAATATTCTACCAAACCTCTCACATGGGTGTAGGACCCACATACATGTAGATTTGTGTGAGTCTCACCCCATGTGAGAGATTTGGTAGAATATTTAGGGTACATAGCATTTCTCTAGTATAAAATCTAGCCCTAATCGCAAGTCCTCCAGATCAAGTTTTTCTTTTCCTAGCGATTCTCTCTCTCTCTCTCTCTCTCTCCCTCTCCCCCTCATCGTGTTAGAATCGCGTCCCAATTGAGATAGAATTGCGAATCTAACTGGATGGGAACGCCTCAAGCTAAGGATTTGTGTTTCACGGCAACAACAAAGAAGGAGAGAGAGAGAGAGAGAGAGAGAGAGAGAAGCTCGTGGGAAGGGGAGACAATTTTCATCTAGAATCACGATTCAACGATTCGTAGCAAGAATCGTGTTAGAATCGCGTCCCAATTGAGATAGAATTGCGAATCTAACTGGATGGGAACGCTCAAGCTAAGGATTTGTGTTTCACGGCAACAACAAAGAAGGAGAGAGAGAGAGAGAGAGAAGCAAATACATGGAAGAAGACAACGCGATCTCCACTCTCTCCTGATCAGGTTTTTCTTTTCCTTGTTATTCTCTCTCTCTCTCTCTCTCTCCTCTTCTTCTTTGTTGTTGCCGTGAAACACAAATCCTTAGCTTGAGCGTTCCCATCCAGTTAGATTCGCAATTCTATCTCAATTGGGACGCGATTCTAACACGATTCTTGCTACGAATCGTTGAATCGTGATTCTAGATGAAAATTGTCTCCCCTTCCCACGATTCCTGCTACTAAGGTTTGGAGTCCATATGCACTCATTTTTGGGGAATAAGAGTAGAAGATGGAGAGTAAAGAAGGGGCAATAATAGTTGACTCTGTTTTGTAGGGAATTTTCAGCTGTCTAGGTGTTTTGTGATGTTACTTCTCAACTCCTACATGGTCTCTTCAGGTGCCTGAAGTGGGTTAAATCATTCACTCTGTTAAACATAATTATCTATAGGATTGGGATGTGTTCTAATATAACTAAAGTAAATGACGATACTGTGTTTTAAAAGGGGAAAATTTCATCTGAGTCTACAACTTCAAAAATAATTACAAATTAATGGTAGACTTTATCAATATTAATAATTAAAATTATCAAGTTTTTCATTCATATGTAATAATTTTTTAAAGATCCCACTGAGTTAATTTTTCCCTTTTAAGAAGGCATTACAAGCTAAACCAAACAAAACCAAACCAAAGAAAACTAAGCCTTTTGTCCCACTCAAGTGGCGTCCCTGTCAAGAGTTATATGCTTAGCTAAATTAAATATGCATCCCCATGTTAGTTCAAGTCTTTCCATTCTTACATTTTCATTTATGATCATATCACACTTATGTACCGCTACATCGATATGCTTCATTGTACGTGACCAAATCATCTTGGTTTGTTCTCTCTCAACTTATCTTTAGTTGGTGCTACCCCTACCATTTCATGAATATATTCATCTTTAATTCTCTTTCCTAGTCTTACCACACATAATTTGGATATTATAAAAAAAATTTGTGAAACCCTAGCAGAAAAGTTGCTTCTCGACGGGGGGCAAGCTTTGGTATACATTATGTATGCGATTTAGGGTGATTGCAAAGCTTTCAGCTATTCCTTGACTGTTATCGCATAATAATTGACAATTGTTCTTATGAATGTGAATTTTGTTTTTAGGTTTGTGTTTATCTTTTATCTCTAGCCACCCCAGAGGGTGAAGTGCAGGGTTTAAAGGCAATGACTGATTTTTGTCTTTACTTAACAGGGAGGCAGCTATGTACATGCAAGGGGCTTTTCAGTGTATCATGTATTCCGACACATCACGGTAACGACTTTTGTTTCCTGTTAAAGTCTATGTTGCAAAGACTCTTTAAAATGAATCGAATATTTGTGTTAGACACCCGACCCTTGGACAAGAGTATGGGATATGTCCAATACTTTTCATTGGACACGTCTTGTATATTTATAATTAAAACTATCATTTTATGTGTATATTGTTGTGTAATTGTTTTAAAATGAGTAAAATGCTTAACTGTCAATGTTACATAGATTAAAAATATAAAAGTATGATAATTTTTTGACAAAGTAGGCGTATCCTTAAATTTGAGGTTTGATGACCCGGCCTCTAGATACACACCTACATCTGACACCTGTACATGAGTCTGTGTAACATGGGTTTATGGCCAGTAGTCCAGGATATTCAGAAGGTTTTAAATTAAAGCTTAGAATTTTTTATTAATTACCGTATTGCAGGAACATGCTGCTATGGCTTTGCAGTATTTCCTTGGCCTGAGAACCGAAACGGCTCTACTTTCTCTTTTGGTATTGTCTCTAACTTGAGATTTACCGTGTCCATCTCTACATACAGAATCGCATTTCAAGCATATACAAGTTTCTCAAATGTTTTTATTTGGTTTTGCAGCACTGGATCTGCAGCTATCAAACTCTGTTCACAAAAGTTTGCAGGTACAACCATCTTCTTTTTCTTAATGATTTCCTAGAAATTTCATTTGGGATTTGAATTTTGAGAGTTTGTGGTGCAGTAAATGTAGACGGTTACTGTCAATGGACACACAATTGGCTTTACTGTTGCCTCCAGTTCATCGCCCTTACCGGAACTTTTCTGGTGGAAAGGCCTCATCAACCCAATCAAGTTTGTCGACGAAGGATCAGAGCACGGACATTACGCACGCCTATCATGTTGGCTGCTTTTTAGAGGAATTGTAGTCATCCTTTGTCGCAGTTGTGTTCAGTTGCTGATGATATCTTGTAAGGTTATGTAGCATACTTTTTTCTTCTCTCTTTTTGGCTCAGCAGGAGGTAGGATAGCAAACATTCTAGGGCTTATTTTAGATTCAAGTCATAGCTGTGGTATTGGGTTAGAGAATTTTTGGTTCTTTTTCTACTTTGAGATTGTAGTTTTCAACTTGAGGCAGCCATTTTGTATAAATAATGTCAAAAGTCAAGGCTGGCTACACTTTCTTTTCATTTACAAAGAGTATTTTTGGTTATTGGTTCAATGATTAAAATTTTAATCTATTAACCTGTGGGCTATTCTTTGTAAACGTTTATTAAGGGGTACTAAGTTTGGACTTTCTTATCAATAATGTTGGATGCACTAACTCGTGTGCTAACAAATATACAGTTAGAAACAATATTAAGCGTATCTCACATTAAATGTTGGATTTCAGATGCGTGTCTTGTGTTTTAGTTAGTATTTTTGTTAATATATTAGTTAGTGTTTGGAACATAATTGATTACTTATAGAAGCCTATATTCTTTATATATATATATATAATAAGTAGAGCTCTAAAATAGACATTTACATTATTTATAGAAGCCTGCTTATATCTATCTATATTATTATCTATCTATATCTATATTATTATATATGTGAGCATATGACTTGGTATCTAATAGTGTAATAGCTTCTTTTTCTATCACGTGACAAATTTTTCTATCTTAAAATAAAAAAAATGTTATTCAAAGTATGAATAAAATTTGAACACAAGATTTTAGATTTCATTAAGAACACTCTTATCATTTAGATAATATATATATTATGATATTAATTTTTTTATTATTTATTTTTGTACTTATCTAAATTACATACGCATTGCGTGTGTCATCTATTAGTATCTATATAATATATATAAGCAAATGTAATAAATTTTCAAAAACTTTCAAAGTTTTAGCTATGTCTTCTCATTCAAAGTTGACTTTGGCCTATTTTGGGAAGAGAGATATAATCCACTTTCTAAATTATAACTTACTTCCTCTGGCTGCCTCTTCCATGGTGTTTTATGGTTTTGATCGTCGCTACTCCAAATTGCTTCTTCGGAGGGCTTCCAGGGTAATTATCTATCCATCTATACTATTATCTATCTATATTATATATGTAAACACTGAATCTTGGTGTTTAAATCTCCAAATTTTCTTCTCATATCACATGGCAGATTTTTATAACGCAAGTAAGGTTTTGGTTTAAAACCAAACCTTGAATTTCATTAAGAACACATTTATCATTTAAACAATTTATATATTATAATATTTATTTATTGTTATTCTTACTTATCTAAATTACATACGCATTGCGTGTGTCATCTATTAGTATCTATATAATATATATAAGCAAATGTAATAAATTTTCAAAAATTTTCAAAGTTTTAGCTATGTCTTCTCATTCAAAGTTGACTTTGGCCTATTTTGGGAAGTGAGATATAATCCACTTTTCAAATTATAACCTACTTCCTCTCTCACAAAAAAGTTACTTATAAATAGTTTTTTTTATCAAAAAGCTGATTATAACCATCTTTTCAAAATAGGCCTTTATCTTTCTTACCTGACATGCTCTCTAGTCTCAATTGCTCTTTTTCTAATTTCTAATTATTTATTGCATAAATAAATAAATAAAACTATGGAAAGATAAATAAAAATATTTTTTGTCCAATCTATTTCAATATTACAATCAAATAAGTATTAACATATATAAGATAATATTGATTTTTAATAATATCCTTTAAAAACCAAATAATTGATTGACTAGTAAAATAAAAACAAACAAACAAATATTACCCTTAAAGAATTGAGTATTCAACTTTTAAATGATAAAAGTTATTCTAGATAAAACAAAATCAGATAATTATAATTTTAATATACCAGATAAGTATTAGCTTCTTTATATGTAATATATAATGTATCACCTTAATTTATGTCTCTCCACCTGAACTTTCCATAGTTATATCAACTTGAGAAAAAATAAAAATTGTAAAATTTTCAAACTCTAGTGTATCTCTCAACCAAAACTTTCTTCTTCACCTAAACTTAAAGCTTATATCATGTATACAATTAATCTATAACTCTATTACATGTTTTCATTTATTGCAGTTAATATATTTACAGTGATGCTCAATAAAATTTCATTAGAATATGTGATCTGTTTATTAATTTAGAGTAATTAAATTTAATGTATTTACAGTGATGCTCAATCAAACGCTATTAGAGTATGTGGTTTGCTCAATAAAATTTTGTTAGAGTGTATGATTTGTTTATAGGTGTAGAGTAATTTAATATTTTTACAGTAGTATATTTTCATATTTTCACATTTCACTTTTATTTTGCTTGTTCATTGAAGGTGCACTCAAAAGAAAGAAATGTTATTCATATACTTTTAATGAAAAATTGTATTCATACAAAAGAGTATTACAAGTATGTAAAATTAATTTAGAACTTAATTTAGGGTTATAATTTGGAATAGCTTTAATAATGAGTTTTGCAGATTGATACCCACATATTAATACTTAGAATTTGATTTAGAGTTAGTTCTTCACATTACAATTTGAATATATATATATTGAATAACACCATGAGTACTTTTTTTGAACATTGAAAATTAGCCCACAAAGTATGTAATTAAGTCCACGTGTGCCTAAGATTTTTAAAGTAATTTTTTTGTTTTTTTAGGTTAAAAAAACCATTTTGTCATTTTTCAAATATCAAAAAGTAAATAAAAAAAACTTATTTCATACAACAAGCTAAAAAGTAAAAATTTTAAAAATTATCACAGTTTAGTCCCACCTAAAAAGAAAATCTTATTCCTTTTACTCCCTATAACTTAATTCATCATGTTGAAATTTTTTCAAAATCTATCTTTTAAAGAAAAAAAAAAAGGGTTACTTTAAGTTACACAAAATTAAAAATAAAAATAAAAATAAAAATTTCATTCAGTTTCTTTCTTTTTTTTAAGAAAAAAAATCATTAAAAATGAAAAATAGTAAAAGAAAAAAAAAGTCTTCCTAAATGAGAGTTATAAACAAAAAAAAGTTTAAAAAACTAACAAAATTACCAAACAATATGACTTATTTCACCGTTAAAAAACTAAAAAAAATGCAATCTGCTATAACTTTAAAAAAAGAAAAAAATTAATATGAGATTATCCAATCCTTTTAATATATAGTGTTGTAAATTTTTATTTATTTATAAATTTTAACAAAGACTGTTTTTAGAGTTTTAAGGTCTCAAACTACAAATTTTTTTTTAAAAAAAATCTATCGTTTATGCCATTCAATTCTAAATGTTTGTAACTTAAAATTTTCATGATAGAAATCCTTACAAATAAAATTTAAAAATAAATGTCTTACACAATTATTTTGTTCTTTATAAAGTTCTTAACTTATTCTATTCACTATGTTTGGTTCCAATTTTTTTGAATTATTTTTTCAAAAAGTGATTTGAAAACTCTACGTTGAAAAATGATTTTTGTTTGGTTTTTAAAAAAATGCATCATTGCAATTTCAAGTTTCCCTCCAATTTAAAGAGAGAGACAATTTTGAAGAAACAAATTTGTCACATTAAAAAATACTCTCATCTTAATTATATATATATATATATATATGAAAATATAATTTGGTATGTAGTCATTTATGGGTACACATCTTACCATTAACTGTGTGACTTTATCATAAAATTTTCACTCATTTCAACTACAAAAAAAGTAATTTTTTTTCCCAAATTGGCATTAAAAAAATTATTACATAGAATTAAATTTTCATAAATGTTATGCAAACAAATTATTTTATCACACAATATCGTAGCATTAACACAAACATGTGTAACATCGTTTGAAATTAACATAACAAAATGTCCAAATTTTTTATACTTCATGTTGCAAAAGTTTGCAAGTTAGTTACAATTTTTTTTTTAATGCCAATTTGTAAAAAAATTATGTTTCTGTGGTTGAAATGAGTGCAAATTTTATGATAAAGTCACACATTTAATAGTAGGATATGTACCCATAAATGACTACATATCAAATTATATTTTCATACATCTATAGCATGTACATATATATATATATATATATAACACTAAGATAAGAGCATTTTTTGATGTGACAATTTTTTAAAAAAAAATTGCCTCTCTCCTTAAATTGGAGGGAAACTTGAATTTGCAATTATTTTGAAAAGTGTGTTTAGTTTTCTGAATAACCAAACAAGTATTCTAAAATTTTCAAAAGATTGAGTTTGAAAAATAACAACCAAACAAAGGGATTAATTTTAAAATTTCATTTAATTGAGCTCTTTAAATAATATTTTTAATTTTTAAATAGCATGAACACATTTTATAAAATTTTGTACTTTTTATTTTATTTTAGTAAATTGCACATATTATTTATACATTTTAAAGGCAAAAATATTGAATGTATGGGTTGGGGGAGAGAAAAATAATGAATTTGCAATTATTTTGAAAAGTGTGTTTAGTTTTCTGAATAACCAAACAAGTATTCTAAAATTTTCAAAAGATTGAGTTTGAAAAATAACAACCAAACAAAGGGATTAATTTTAAAATTTCATTTAATTGAGCTCTTTAAATAATATTTTTAATTTTTAAATAGCATGAACACATTTTATAAAAATTTGTACTTTTTATTTTATTTTAGTAAATTGCACATATTATTTATACATTTTAAAGGCAAAAATATTGAATGTATGGGTTAGGGGAGAGAAAAATAATAACCAAATTATTTATTATTATATTTTCAAAAAACAAATTAAAAAATATATTGATTAACGACTAAATGTGTTTGGGTGGGGAGTGGAAGTAATTAATGTACAACTCATAAATTTATATTTAATTTTTTACTTATGCACAGTAAAAGGAAAAAAATATTAAATGTAAATAATATGTATCTTATTAAAAAATTAATATATTATTTTATCTCGTGCATATCACGAGTCATATGCTAGTAAATATATGTGCACTCGTAAGGATTAGTCGGACTTTGATGAAGATATAACAGTGTCAATCAATATATATGTATATATATTAAGTAGATATCAAATATATATATTAAGTAGAGCTCTAAAATAGATGACACAACGATTTAGGAAAAATTTCTAGTAACACTTTCTTTCAAATTATCATAAAATCTTGTTTAAACAGTTAATTCTTATTTTTGTTTTATTTATAATTTATCCCAAATTTTTTGAAATTCTTTTAATAGCATACTTTATTGCACTTTTACCCTTCAGCATGTTTACAAATTTGTCCCCTTTTTTTCATTTTTTTATATTTATTTTTCCTTCATACCAAACATGGTGTAAAAGTCCATCTGGGAAGCATATTTGTCATAATTTTTTTTGTAAATAATTTCAATGTGAACACACAAAAATAAATAGCCGAAACTTAGAATAAAAAAAGATTGGACTTGCAACAAAAGTGTAAATGTTCAAAGTTCAAAGTTCAAATTTCAAACCCCTGAATGGTTCTGAGCAAAATAAAAGTGTAATTTGGCGCAACTTTTCTTGGCACATTCCAGTAGTAATTGAAAGCAACAGGAATACTAGGATTACTTTTCTTATAATAAATTCACAACGAAAAAAAAAAAAAAAAATGAAAGAAGAAAAGAAACAAAAAAGATTAAAATAAAAAAGAAAGATAAAAAAGGGTGATGCAAAAAATAAAACAAGAAATAAAAAAGAAAAAGCTTTACTTGTAACTGTAGTGTGTCTTTTCTTTACTTCATTCCCTTGTGGTTCTTCATCAATTGATTATTTATTTAATTTAATTTTCTACTTTTTATTTTTGGGTTTAATTGTTAATCCTAGTGTTCCTTCTTTTCATCTTCTTTGAGTGATTCCTGTGTGTTCCTACCATTGATGCTAAAGGAGTTTGAAAATCACTAATCTATTTCCATTATTTTGGTTTTACTTGCTTCTTCAACTCATTACATATTGATCAAAAAATTAGATTGCTTGTCACTCATAATGTCCTCTGCAACGTTAAAAACTAATTTTTTTAAGCTTGTAAATTCCAATTCAGTATACAGGTTTCTCACCAATGCAGAGTCTGGAAAAGGTTAGATATATATAATTTTATGCCTATATGCAGATAAGCTATGTACTTAGCCTTATCTCTACATGCAAAGAGATTATTTTCGTGTTTTAAATCCATGATGTTTAAGTCACGGATTGTTATCTAACAGTGAGTATAATGATCTTTTCTAATTTAAATTAATTATAAATTTGCATTTATATTTAATAACCATTAGATATGTAATGAAAATTTATTATATATATGGAATGGAGAGGATCAAAGTCCTCAAGTCACAATAGAATAATCTTACCACTATGCCAATACCCACCCTATATATGTTTGTCACACTTAGATTAAGAAACAATTATTAGGTACTCTTATAGTATCATAAGGCATTTATCCATGTTATAGTATCATAAGGCATTTATCCATGTGGTGCTCCTAACAAATGAGGAGTCGCATAACACACTAGTAGGTCATTCCTTTAGGTAATTATTCAAGAGTATAGAAGCACTGTTGATTTACATTTGTTGAATAATTAGGAGATAAACGATAAATCATTTAGTGTGGGTTGTGATTTATCGTTGGGTACGAGTACTACATAAATAATGTTACATGATATTGTGAGAATATATCTTTTAACTACTTAATAAAGTTGAGCCAGAATTATTCTTTCGATAATTTTTTCGCTATATTAATATTTGAAAATACCACGTAGCCACTATCACATGATGTTCCGAAAGTACCGAATAACCACACCAGAATATTGATCCCTTGGTAATTAGAGCTATAGCTGGCTTGATTCCTTCTTGTGAGGCTTGCCAAAGCTCAAAAGTCTGCCAATTTAAATACCAAAACCAGCATTTCAAGCAATCCCAAGAACAGAAACAAAGCTATAGCTCTCTTTCAAGCTTTTTAGAGACATCTATAAAAACCCATTTGAACACAAACTGATTTTAAAAAACAAAAGCATTCAAAAAACATTTCATCACCCCATCTTTCTCTTCCATTCACTGAACTCAAAACAAAGCTAGGGTTTGCCTCCAACTTGCCATGGATGGATACAATCAAAGCCGATATCTAACACCAGCCTCTCGTATCACTGTGGTAGCACACTTGTTTGGTATAACAGCTCTTATTCTCCTGCTTGTTTGGTTGCTGCATTATCGCACCGGCTTCGATCTTGATTCTAGCCACCCAGAACGTGTTTTCAATGTAAGATAATCAACTCTTTAAATAATCATCTTGTTAGGGTTTTGCAAGAAACATGAATTATATATTTCTATATGTACTAGTTGTTCATGTCAAAAATTTTGTGTGCAGCTTCACCCATTTCTTATGTTCTTTGGATTTATCTTCTTTGCTGGTGAAGGTACAAGTTTATATCCATTTTTTGATTTTTTTGCTTAACTTTTTCTTATAGTTTAAATTAGGGCAAGTTTCATTTTTTACCGTGCATGTTTCACTTGAATTTCATTTTGATCCACCACTTTTCGATTGCAACAATGGGTCTTCAAAGGTGAACTTTTGTTTCAAATCACCATTTTAAATTACTATATTTTTACCCTTACAATTCCAACGTCCTTAATATTGGTGCCACGCATTATAATTTTTTCTTATAACGGCTCTAAAATGTGCTGACATGGTTATCATGTGAATGCTTTCTAGCTAAATTTTAAATGGTAGATAACCACTTTGAAACACAAGTTGAAATCTAAAGATTATCATTACAGTTAAAAGGTGAAAGAAAGTGACAATTTGGTGAAATTGAAGGATTAAAAATGTATTTTGTTCTTACAGAGTGCTACAAACAGCCCATTTTTTCCTTAAAACCCCCACTCCATGTTTTTTAGGGCAAATTACAAACACCATCTCGAGCTTTGGTAAAAATACAGATTCCCCCCTGAGATTTGAGAAATTACAAATTACCCCCTGAGGGTCAAATTTTCATAACAAATTAAGAAAAATTAGGGGGAATCTATATGAAAATAAAAACCTCAGGGGGCAATTTATTATGAAAATATAAACCTTGGGGGGTAGGATGTAATTTCTCAAACCTCAGGGGGAAATCTGTATTTTCACCAAACCTCGAGGGGGTGTTTGTAATTTGCCCTTTTTTTTAATTATAATTTAATCTTTTCATTGAAATCCAACTTTATTTCCATTTCCTAAACTCCCAAATCACCACCTAGCTCCTCCTCCCATCCCTAGTTCCGATTACTCTCCCCAGCTTCTCTCTATCAGTTCCATATCGTCTATCACCAACTCTGGTCATGCTCTCCACCCTTCTCAAGCCCTTCTTTACTCTCCCTTGGCATTCCCCATGCTCCCTCACCCTCTTTTGCCACCTTTAAACCCCTTTTTATAACCCTCAGCCTCCTTCTCCATCTTCGTTTCCCTAGATGGCCTCTAGCACCCATCGTGGCTAGGGTTTCACAAATGGGCGAGTTTAGTGTAGGTTGAGGATGTGGGGTAGCAAGGGGAGGGCTTGTAGTTGTTGGATGGGGTTGTGGTTGGAGGATGGTAGAAGAGGATGAAAAGGGGCTAGAAACGGTAGAGAGGCTGGAAAGATTAGACTACTGGCCGAGAGAGGTGGTGAGGAAATGTGGGGAGGGTAGTAAAGAGGGTTACCTGAGGGGAAGGTTGGGAAAGGGGTTGTCGAAGGAAGGAGGTGCCTCAGGATCCTCTATCCCTAAATATCTTTATCCCCTTATCCTAAATCACTCACAACTATTGGATATGTCTTAAGAGTCTCAAATCTTGAAATTCTCATATGATCCAATGATTGTGAGTGATTTGAGACAGGGGGACATGAATATTTGGAGACAGGAGATCCTTGCTCGAAGGAGGTAGTAGGGATGAGGGTCCAAAGAAGCAGGGGTGTAGTTGGGAATAAGGTCGATGTTCGAAAAAAAAAAAAATGAAATTATTTAGGTAGGGTTCGGTAACATTTACGTTTTTTTATTTATGCTTAAATTTTGTTTATAAACTATTTTTTGTTTATTTTAAAAAAAACATAAACTACAAATGCATTTAGTTTGAACAAAATATTTAAAAAAAATTAAAAATATGAACTAAAAAATATGTTTGTTAGAATTTCTATATACACTCGTCAAATTTCTAAGCTTCATTTTCCTTGGGAATTTGAACAAAACACTTAATGAATGCATTGATTGTTGTTGGTACACGTACAACATGGTGATGCGAGCAGCGGCAATGGCGTACAAGACAATAAGAGCATCGAGGGAAGTGCAGAAGTTCTGTCACATGCTTTTCCACCTAATAGCAATTGTGCTTGGGATTGTTGGAATCTATACAGCTTTCAAGTTTCATAATATGCAACATATAAGTCATATGCATAGCTTGCACTCTTGGATTGGCATGATCACTTTTTGCTTCTTTGGCTTGCAGGTAACAAACAACAACCCCCCTCCCCCCAAAATTACTTATCTTTATTTATTTATTCAATTCTCTCTAGTTTTCACCCTTTCGCCATTGCGATCACATCTGGACTTGGTGGTGATGGGTTGTGGGAGTAGTACGGATAAGGTAAAAGTTGTGGTAGGTGATACTAAATGTTCATAACATGATATCACTGTTACACTCAAGTTTTACTTATGAGAGTGAGAGTAAACTTGGTATTAAGTGATAATTCAACTAAATTATATCCATTCTACTAATAATTATGTGATTTTTATTTTTACAGTGGTTGTTTGGGTTCGCTTTGTTTATGTTTCCGAAAGCTAGACCATTTACAAGGGAGATGGCAATGCCGTGGCACATAAGTGGAGGAAGGGTACTGTTATACATGGCAATTTGTACTGCCGAGACTGGTTTAATGCAAATCGAACCATTGACCAGCAAGTTTAGTTTAATCAACTTCATTGGACTCTTTATCCTCTTCTTTGGCATCACTGTCGATCTTTCCATAGCTCTTGCTCATTATGTCTAACCTAATTAATATATATATATATATATATAAGATACAACTTTGGCTTGAAGAATACTTCGATTAATGTTGGAACTGTACTTGCTAGCTATACAAAATATTTTCACAGAATGAATCGTAAAATAGACACAGTGGGGTAGGTGGGGAAAATGTTTGGTGGTCCAAATTTTTTGTGGTTCGAATGTGTCAAAACGACGTTATTTTACATCCAAAACGACTTCGTTTTGAGTGTTTTGAGTCATTCGAGTCATGATTTTTCGGGCTAACTATCATTGTTTGGGGTAGGTGGGCCTCACCCTTGTGTCTATTTGTTATGTGAAAAATGTTTTGTACGATTGAACTTTCCTTTGTTTGTGTAAATGAATTTATTTATTCATTAATAGCTTGAGTTTGGTTTGTATAAAACTTGTTCAATACTAACAATTATTTTTTTATTAATTTACTCTTTCAGGCTAATGTTTGGTGTTTGTGTGTTTTTTCGTTTTTGCATATTTGATTGATGAAACTTATTAATAAATATAAGCATTGTGCTCTTCTTCTTTTCTCCTTTTGGAACCGTTGCCCGTTTGTGCTTCTTTTTCTCTATTGATTGATGTATCTGGGTTATTGGTTTCATTAATAAAGTGTTTTTTTTTTCATTATAAATAAAAGTAAAATAAAATAAAAAAATAAAAATAAACATTGTTTTAATGTTTTGCTTATCATAATTTTTTTGGTATTCTCTTAATATGAAAATTAATTTAAGTTTGATTTGTTTATTTTCAAGTTTGAAATCACCTCATTAACATAATCAAGTTAATTTTATCTCTAAATTTTGGTTTCTAAAACCTTAATTTTATGTAGTGTAAGCTTGGTTTGGTCGGCTAGACTTGTTTATAGCCCCAGTGGTTTTGTTAGGTTATGTTATCTTTATGGACTCTTGCACTGTTTTATCTGCTTCAATGAAAAATATTTTTTACATAATACATTTTTCGAAAAATATCTTCTATAGAAATTTTTTTATTGTGTTTTGTTCGACCTCAAAACTAATATGCTAGTTAGTTTGGTAGTGGTAGTTGTGGTGGTGGTGTACGGTGGTGGTGGTGTCATGGCAGTGGTGGTGGTTTGTTGATGGTGGTATGGTGGCGGTAGGGTGATGATAGTGGTAAGATTTATTTAAAAAATTGACTACTTTTTTTTTTTTCCCCGAAATAAACTTCTTTTTTTTTTTTTTTTTTTGTTGATTATGAAAACATTTCAATTGATTTTTATTTTCTATCGTGAAAACATAAAAAAACAAATTTATGCCAAAACAAAAAGAGCTTTGATGATGTTTCAATTCACTATTTACTAAAGAAACAAAAGAGAGATTCTAACCCACTTACCGTAATTAAAAATAAATTAGTAAATGTTTTTAAAGGAGAGCTGACTAAAATCTCCAAGATTTATATTATTCACATGATTACTTAAAAAACATGAAAACAGAAGTGTTGAATAAGGACTTCAAAATGCATTATTATGCAATAACAAAAGCACAAATCCTACAGATTATGCAGCATCATTTCAATAGTTTCTCATGTCAGCTCTTTTTCCTCTTTGCTCAGTTTCAAATATGGGAAAGGATTAATGCTTAACCACTAGCTACTCAGCTTGGGAGAGGATCCTTTCGGGTCCATATAGTAGATTAGAGTGTGTTGTTGGGTTTGTATGGCCTTTGACCAGTCTCACTTTGACAATTTGACCTATAAGAGTTTTAAAGATTAATTTTTTTTTTATCTTCAAAAATAAAAATTTTGTTGCAAACAAATTAGGGAACTAAATCTTGTTGTCGCAAGAGTCGTCAAAAGGTAGGACTAAACTTTGGTCCCCAAAAATAAAAAAATTTGTTGTAAAAAATGTTAAGAGACTAATTTCTATTGTCGCGAGAGTTGTTGTTAAAAAGTTGTCTTAAAAAAAAATTTAGCTACAAAATTGCAAAAAATGTCGCTAATAAATTCACTTTTAGGGACAAACAATTTGGTGCGAAATTTTTTACTTCTTTAGACAGAAATTTTGACCCCAAAAGGATACTAATTAATCACGAAATGTTTAATTTCGTTGCTAAAAATACAATAATAACACTTTGGACAACTAAATGTTTGGGAACATATTGAAATAACCAAAAAGTCAACATATAAAGTCAATTTATTATCTCTACTTTTTTACATGTCTTTTTAAAAAAAAAAAAGAAAAAAAAAAAAGAAGCTAATCCCAAATGAATGGAGAGAAAATATGAAGGGAAAAGAAGAGAAGGGGAAACAACATTCATATGAAATGAATTGTGGGAAGAACGATAGAAAAAGAAACATGGATATCATCTCATTTTATGGTCATACAATCTTTCTTTATTAATAGCCAAATTTTAGAGGTAACAATGTAATTAATTTTTTTTAATAAAAAATAATGGGTGGATGTCTCTTCTTCTTCTCTTTTTTTTTTTTTATATATTTAATTTTTTAATCAGTAAGAAGCGAATAAGGGAAGAGAAGTTCCGTTTGCAACAATAAGACTCATACATATACATCACAATTGGTAAGAAAATGCCTCTTTCACCCTGCCAACCCCTTGTCTAACCTCTCACCCTTTACTTCAATTCAATTTTGTGCAGGTTTTGGTGGGCAGTGAGAGATTTCTCCCTCTTACTTTTCCTTTGTGCGGGGAGCAAATATTCCGGCAAGCCCGTACTCCTTTCTTCCAAGCTCCGTTTATGTCCGATCACCTGCGCGCAAACAATGGTGAGCTACCCGGCGGTGTGTGGCCGGAAAAACACTCCGATGATCAAATTAGCACACAATGCGGGGATAGAGAGAGAGAGAGAGCGAGGTGTTTGAATGTAAGAAATTCCTTACAAAGTGTTCCTCTGTCGCGTATGGGGGGCGCAGACATACTTGTATACCCTCTGCGCCCCATATCCACTCCCAGTCATCTCCTGACACGTGGCTCCGCTATCCCATCTGTCAGCATAAACCTTGCCGATCATCACCTAATCACAACTGCCTGCCTTCTCAGCTGGAGCTCGGCAGCCGGGCTGCTCTATCCACGGTCGTGCTGTGCTTCATACCCAAGCGCTTCACTGGCTAGGCCCAGGGAGGACCGGGCTAGGCGGTATCTCGGCAAAGCCAAGCCTGGGGCACCTCATGTGGTCGGCCTTCCTGCCGATCAAACGGTTTCCTCGGTTGACCACGCCTTTCCGGGCACCGGTTGCTCAGCTTGTCTGGCTTCAGCCACCCCCTGATCAAGCAGCTCGGTCCAACCGAGCACTGCCTTGCCGAGCTTCTTTATGGTCCGGGGCGGCGCACACTTGGCCCAATTCCTACCCGGGCTAAGTTCTGGCAGCCCATCTCCGGGCGGATAGTCGATCATCTCGGCCCCATGCACGGTTGGGCTCTCAACCTGCTCGGTCGTTGCCTCGGCCCAATTCCAGGTCATAAATCACCCTCTCAATTGCCCCTTAATTCCGTCCGCGAAAGCGTGACTAGGATTACTCACTTCGACCGAGATAACATTTCTCCGGTCTTCAAGGTGCAAAAGCTCGACCGGGCTAGTTAACATAACTGTCTGCAAACTTGCCCGGTTATACTCCTCGGCTAACATCCTTTTCTTCGAAAGTAGCTCGGTTGGCTCTTTGTCTCTTCAACCCGTCGCTTCAGTCCTGACGTTGCCATAAATGGGGACACGTGGCGGGCTGCCATTGGTCATCGAGCAGCCAACCCGCCATTTTTGCCAGAATTTTGAATTTGGGCGGCCTCTCTCTTGTCTATACATACAGGACCTCCCAAACTTCACCTCCTCCTACTGCCATTCTGTTATACGACTCCAGAGCTCTAGCATCCTTGCCTTGGCCTCGTCTGCCATTCTTCGTGTTCGAGGGAATAGATCCTGCCCTTCACTGGTGAGTCGTTCTACCCCTATTTTGTTGCTATTTTCTTTCATATTACACACATTAGGGCACCAAAACGTAGCTCTTAGGGCATAGGCCATAGAAACCGTCCCAAACCTCCCACTGTTCTTGGTGTTCTTCATCTTCCTGAAGAACACTGAAGAACTGGAGCGAACCGGGCTCCTGGTCTTCTTCTGATCCAAAAAACCAATCTAACCGAGCAAATAACATGTTTGTCTCAACCCCGGCAAAAATTGAGATAACAAAAGGACTTGGTTGCACAACCGGGCTAACATCTGGTCTGCTTGGGCGACCGGGCTCCTTAGTTAGAATAGACAACCGAGGTGGTTTGGCACTCTTAATGACCGAGCTAAAGTCCAACTCCTTTTGCGCGACCGCGCTCACACTTACACTTACCATTCTTTTCCTGCAGAGTCCAAGGGGACCACTGTCATTCCTGAGGCTCTCAGGACCGAGCAGCATCCAAAAACCACAGTGCCAAACCCCTCAACCGGGATATACTAAGCCGGCCACAAATGGGGAAATTCCGCTTCCTAGTGGATACTCCGGCTGCGTTAGCTGCTTTCAGAGAGGAGTACGGCATCCCGGCCGACGTCCATCTCGAATTAGCGGAAGAGGAGACAACACCCTGGGGCAGACTAGACCAATGCTCCTTCACCGTGCTCTCAATTGTCGAAGGGGGCCCCCGTTTCCCACTCAACCCACTTATCACCGAGTTCCTCCGCCGTATCGGGCTGGCACCCACACAAGTGTCCACCAATACTTATAGAATTATCAACGGCGTTCATGAATTGAACAATCAGCTAGGCATCAACTTAGGTCTAGCCGAGATATTGAGGCAATACACAATAGGCCACACCGGCGACGGCCTAGCTTATTACTTGAAGATAAGACCGGGCAAGGAAAAAATTGTAACCGGCACCCCGGATAAAGATTTGCACGACGACGATTTTTTCTGGGTGTCGGGCAATTACGAAACAGCTGAGGTGCCGGGCTGGTTTATAAACAAGGACTTTGGTTCTTCATGTAAGCTGCTCAAACTTGCTCGGTTAGCCTAACTCGTTACTCTGTAACTAACCGGTTTTCCTGTTTCTTTTGCAGCAATCCAAGCCTTGCAAGCCAACTATCAATTTCCCAACGTCGAAGCAATTCGGACCGTGCTTCGGTATTCCCACCGAGATTGCAACGATTTACTCGGCTACACCCCGACTTACAGGTATTCTGCTCCGCGCCGGAGTAGAGTAACTGACTTCCTCCGCGCTCCTTCGCCACCTCCAGACCCTACCCTTCCTGACGTCCCCTTAATCCGGTTAACAAACGAGCAAGACATGGCCAAAAGAAGTCGAATCAAAAACCTTCTCACCGCAACCTCGACCGAGATACCAAGCGTTGTCACCCGCTCCCCGGCTGCCGGTCAATCAAGTGCCGCCGTGGTTGCCTTAGCTTCTCCAGCCGCCGGGCAGTCTAGTAGAGAAACACGCCGGGCTGGAAAAAGACCACGGGCAGATCCCTCTGCCGAGCTCGTAGCCGAGCTGAC